AAGAGTAAAGAAGAGGAGGACCGAGAAAGATAGCCTTTGGAAACTGTGTGAAACCTGGGAGGGGGACGCTGGAGGGAATCCCTAAAGAGAAGAAGACGAGGAGAATAGTGACAACAAGGGAGAGGAAGGACTGAGAGGCAGAGCTGGAGCTGGTGAAGAAGAGAGGAGATTTGTTTCAGGCGTTGCCGGGGGAGGACCTTGACAGGATTGAGCGGAGCCTGGTTTTTACGGGGGTGTGGTACAACTCTTATGACAGCTCTCCGGCACAAAGAGCAATCGTGCTGTGGGGGAGTGAGTTACAAAGCTGCAGTTCGCCTTCTGTCTCCTTCCTGAATCTTGTTCCAGTGCATGCTGGGCTGCAGGGCTTGCTGCTACCACTGCTAGTCGCTTGATAACCTTCCTCTCAGTGAGCGGGACCTGCTGCCCGAGAGATGTTTGGTGACAGCTCTGTCCTTCGTGACTAGGCGGCGTCTCTGCAGGAGCCCCACTCAGATCCAGATGCTGACTCACTGCTGTGCTCCTGAGCATGTTTTCCCAGAGAAAATAAAATCGCTCTTCCTTCCAGACCCCCATCTTGTTTGTTAGAGTGCCATGCCTTATTTAGGATGCCCAAAATGTTTCAAAAATTGGGGGGTTTGGTTTGGGTCTTTATATAGCCCTGTTGCTGTTTCGCTTTGATTACATCTGTTTGTAAAATTAGGGTTCTGTTTTTGTTTTACTCTCAGCATCCAAACAGCTGCAGACTGTAGAACACACGGTGGACGTTCCCCTACCTTTTCTCGCCCTGTGTGTGCGTTGCTGCTGCTTAGGCAGGCAGGGCGGGTGCCTGCAAAGACCAGCTGCTGCCATCCGTAGGGACGCGGGATTTGCAATTCATGGATGCTCACTCACTGCAGGGTGGACGCTGTCCCAGGCACTTACACACAGTTCTTTCAATAACTTAATAAATAAAAATTACATCATATAAAATACGGTCACATGGCAAAGGCCCTTCTCGTTATTGACTGCTGAGTGCTAGTCTCACTTGAAATTGATGATGGCCAGCAGAGCACACAAAGCCAATGTCGGAGAGAGGCGCAGCTTTGCTGTTGCAGATTTGACATGTCTTTTCACTAAGGCAAGTTTTGACATTTAAGGCTGTTCAATCCATTTAACAAGTCTCTGCTCCTTCATCTTTTGACCCCTGAGACAACAATTCAACTGTCTGTCCTTCAGCCTTCATGTCTTTATGTATTTTCTTGAGTGAAATTTTAATGATTTTCCATTGTCCACGTGACTAATAAAAGATATCTACCTGTAATAGAGAAAGGTAAGACATGACGAGGGGGTGCATAAGTGCTCGGCAAAGAGTTGAACATGTTCAGAAAAAGTTACGGATATCTTGCTGCAGGCACCCTTGTCCTTCTGGTTTCTCATCTTTAAATTTCTCTCTTTTGTTACTGTCCGTGATGGCTGACCCTCGCTTATGGCTCTTGATTGCTTTCCTGCATCTCCAAACTGTAGCTCCTGGCAATGAACTTCCCTTCTTGCTTCATCTTCTGAATATTTGCTCTTGCCTCCCCTCCTGGGGGGAGGTGAGTCTGAGGGGCATTTCCGTAGTCTGAACTTGTTAAAAAGACAGCGAAGTGGGATGGCAGAGAAAGAGCCATGAAACTGTTAGGGTTTGGTTCTAACGCACAGAATGAGTTTGTCTGTAGCCACCTCCTGCTGTGTCTCAGCTTGTTCCGGCAGAGTGGTACGACGGCAGTACAACGAAACAGGACATCTTTGCCTCCTTGTTTCTGGAGTGAAATGACGGGTAGTTGCTTGGATGCATTTAGACTGAAGTTATATTTTGCTTTTACACTAAGGATTTATCTCCATAAAGCTCTGTTTAGTTTTTGGCAGAGATCTCCATGCACGAGGAACATCTCTGGCTGTACCCTGTGACTACATGCTTTTCAGTATAGTTTGAGACCAACCTGTAGACACTGAGCTGGCAGAGAACCATCTTCTTTATGTACAACACCTGAGCTTCACTGAGCACTGAATTAACTGCATTGTATAGCTGTGCCATTTACTGGTGAACTGGTGAAGTATTGACTCTTTTGTATTGTTTTTAAAATTGCTTACTAAAACAATGTTTAAAAAAGTCATCGCAAGGTGAAACTTCCAATGCAAGCTTCATAGCGTGTATCTCAATTTGGACTTTTGGCAGCTGTAGCTCCTGCCTGGGCCCACCCTCTTCGCCATGCAGTGCTGATCGTGGTTCTTGAGGTTCCTCGTGTACCCCGAGGCTTCTTGTCCAGCCAGTTCAAGTCTCCCCCTTTTGGGCTCACTGTTGCTCTTCTGCTCTTCTCTCATCTTACCCCAGTCTTACCACCGAGCCGGATTCAGTCCCACCTGCATCAGCTCCCTTTGTGAGACCTTGTTCACCAGCAGCCCCAACTTGGACTCCTGCATTGCCAGTTTTTGCCCCCTGCTCTCATGCAGCCCCAGATGAACCCCTTTTCCTCCTTGATTTTATTGCTCAGCTGGTCCCCGTCCCTCTTTTCCCAGCATCCCAACTGGTACCCATCTAATTACCAGCTGGTCTCCCCGTTTCTTGTCCAGCCTTAGCTTTCTGCCCGTCCCGCAAAATCTGCCAATGCACTCTGTGTTCTCCCCTGCTGGCTCAGTCCTCTTCCAGAGCTGACTCCGGTTTCTGTTCCCCCTTCACCCACCTCCAGTTCTGATTTCATGAGGCATCTTACTGCGATCCACTCTTTCCCCTTTCTGGTTCAACTTCAACACGAGCCGGCAGTGTGCCCAGGCGGCCAAGAAGGCCAATGGCATCCTGGCCTGTATCAGAAATAGTGTGGCCAGC